GATTTACTGAGTATAACAAAGATTCCTTCAAGAAACCTCCTAATATAAATCATAAAACCATAATGACATCCTGATGCATGCTCAATAATCCAGGTAGAAAAATCTAAAAAAGTTAAATCTGGTCCTCTGGACATTCAAAAAAACAAAGCAAAGCAAAACAACAAAAAAAAATGTAGAAACGTTTCGTCTCTCATCCGAGAGACTTCTTCAGTCTGAGGAGCTGTATTCAGCTCAGTCTCTTAAATAGCACCTTCTCAGAGTGGATCAACCAGTTTTGCTGCTGACAACCAAAACCAGCTGATCACATGCTCAAGAAGGACCATCAGCCTAACAATGGATCATTAGCACACTGATGGCTGTTTACTATTCACAGAGGGCTGAGTGATACTAGCAATCACAGCATTGTAAGAGGGGGACAATTGAACACGTAGGCATCCACCCCTGTTTAACGATGGACAGTTTATTTTCACAAAGATGGCCTCCTTTACTCCTCTCTCAAACCATCGTTTCTCTCTGTCCAGGATGTGTACATCTTCATCCCTGAAAGAGTGACCGCTGGCCTGGAGATGAGTGTAGACCGCAGAGTCCTGGCCTGATGATGTTGATCTTCTGTGCTGCGCCATCCTTTTGGCCAGTGGCTGTTTTGTTTCCCCGATGTAAGACTGATCACAGCCCTCCTGACACTGAACAGCATACACAACATTACTCTGTTTGTGCCGGGGGACTGGATCTTTGGGATGAACCAGTCTTTGCCGTAATGTATTTTATCACTCAGAGTATCACTCAGCCCTCTGTGAATAGTAAACAGCCATGAGTGTGCTAATGATCCATTGTTAGGCTGATGGTCCTTCTTGAGCATGTGATCAGCTGGTTTTGGTTGTCAGCAGCAAAACTGGTTGATCCACTCTGAGAGGGTGCTATTTAAGAGACTGAGCTGAATACAGCATCTCAGACTGAGGAAGTCTCTCGGATGAGAGACGAAACGTTTCTACATTTTTTTGTTGTTTTGCTTTGCTTTGTTTTTTTGAATGTCCAGAGGACCAGATTTAACTTTTTTAGAAAACCATAATGACTTTTGCTCATTCTAAATTTGTCAAATGGCCTAAATATCCTAAAGTAAAGGAGAATCAGGAGGTATCAGGTCTCTCTTGTAAATGAGTCCTCAAGGCTCAGTGGGATTTACCTGTCTAAATAAAGGTTGAATGAAAAAAAAAGAATAATTTAAAAATAATAAACAAGATATATCCTGTAGCCATGTTTCTTGAAATAAGATTTAAATTTGAGGTTGATTTGTGTGCCTCTTGTAAATCAGAAGATGAATCCCTCGAGCAATTTAAAAAAAAATGTCACTACAAAGTCTTTGGTCAGACATCAGAAACTGGATTAATCTCAAACTTAACATAACTTCTTTTCATGCTGATGCCATTTTACTTTATGTGGATAATTTAAACTCAGCTTTCTCTGATGCCATAAATATAGTCGTACTTATAACAAAGTACCACATGCACTGTAGTAAGAGGAGTGATAATAAGTCCTCCTTCCTGTTTTATAAACATTTTAAGTCATACTATTCTTCATTAAGTAGATTAAAAATCTGCAAAACTGCTAGAATCATCTCACAACAGATACAAACTTATTGTTTTAATTAAAACAACATTTCTCAAGGAATAAAAAACCGATGAGCTTGTCAGCAGGTAAGGGGCGTTTACCTTCGGGACAATCTGAGGTTGTCGATTGGTCAGTTACTGACACGCCTTCTGAGTTGATTGATAGGTCACGCCGTCGAGGATCCGATTGAAAAAAAAAAAGAAAAAAAAAACAGAGCTGCAGCAGCCGCACTGAGAGGAGGCGGGGCTGCACAAATGCAGCAGAAGCACAGCAGTTTCTGTGCAGCGCAGCGCTCCAAGTAAAGCAGGAGATAACCAGATATTTTGCTTGTGCCCTCACTACCCTGGGCCCCTTAGAGATCATGGGCCCCTGGGCAGTTGCCCATATGGTTAATCCAGCCTTGGTGTGTAAGGTTTCTGGGTTTTTGTCCTGTCTCTGTCTGTTTCCTCATGTTTCCTGATTAAGTTCTCTGTGTTTCCCTCCTTGTGTTCAGCCCCTATCTCACCTGTGTCTCATGTTAATCACCACAGGTGTCTGTCATTGTCCTAATCAGTGTGTGTGTGTGTGTGTGTGTGTGTGTGTATTCAGCTCTCTTCTGTCTTGTCTTTTTTTCTCCCGATTATCCTTCCATGGTGTTGTGTTCAGCCTTTTGTCCTGTCAGCTCTGATCTGCCTGTTTCCAGTTTTGTGAGTAGCTGCCCTGTCAGCATTTTGATTTTGTTTTGTTAAAATAAATACTTTTGATCTTTTCATCGAGCCTCCTGTCATCCTCCTGCACGTGGGTTCAAACACACCTGATGGCTGAACGTGACAGAATCCAGAGACCATTCTGAACCCAGCAGGAGGATGATTACTTTGTTTGAGTTTTTGGCCCGTGAGGCGGATAAAACCGCCCAACGAGACAGAGAAAAGGAGGAGAGAAAGAAGAATCCGTTTTTCGGGACCCGCTTGGCCATTAAACCCGGGTTCTCAGCCTCTCCATCTCACTCCTCCTCATCTACTCGTCACTCTGCTGCACCCCGCTGCCCACCTCCTCCTCGTTCTCCTACTGGCTGTCCCGCACGATCATCTGAGAGAGGGGGCGAACTACTGGTCCTCCCCGGATCCAGCGCATGGAGGAGACAGCTTCGCAGGTGAGGGGGAAGCCCAGCCCTCGGTCGTCTGTTGAACGGCGGAAGATTTCGCTGGGAGGGAGGTACCTGTGTCCACGAGAGGAGCGGTCCGGCTCTCACTCGCTGGAGGAGCGAGGGGGGAATTCTCTGGGGGAGAGGAACCCAAGCCTACACTTGCTGGAGGAGCAGTACAGCCCTCCCTCGCTGGAGGAGCTGGAACGGTGGAAGGCTTCTCTGGTGGCGATGTATCTTGGTCCGCCCAGCCGCGAGGAGGTTCAGGCGGACACTCCTCCATCTCCTGCAGCTCTGGACCCTGTCCCTGCAGCTCTGGCCCCATCTCCACCGGCTGCAGCTCTGGTCCATGGCTCTCCAGCTGCAGTCCCATCTCTGGTCCCTGGTTCCCCAGCTGCAGTCCCGTCTCTGGTCCCTGGTTCCCCAGCTGCAGTCCCGTCTCTGGTCCCTGGTTCTCCAGCTGCAGTCCCGTTTCTGGTCCCTGTTCCTGGTTCTCTAGCTTTAGTCCTGGTCCCTGACTCACCTGCTGCAGCTCTGGTCTCTGGTTCTCCAGCTGCAGCAGCCCTGACCCCATCTCCTTAAGCTGCAGCTCCGGACCCTGTCCCTGCAGCTCTGATCCCCACTTCTGCAGCGATTCCCAACTCTCCAGCTGCAAATCTGGTTTTCGACTCTCCTGCTACAGTCCTGGTTCCAGTTCCTGACTCCCTGGCTGCAGCCCTGGTCTCGGCTCCCGACTCTTCAGCTACAGCCCTGACTCCTGGCTCTACAGCTGCAGTCCAGTCTCCTGACTCTCCTATTTCAGTTCTCGTTCCTGGTCTGCCCAAGATCTTTGTTCCTGGTCTGTCCGAGATCCTCGTTCCTGGCTCGTCAACTGAGGTCTTCGCTCCTGGATCGATCGCAGAAGATCCCGGCTCGCCTGAGGTCTTCGTTCCCGGCCCACCTGAGATCCTTGCTCCCGTCTTGACCGCAGAAGATCCCGGCCCACCTGAGGCCCCCAGCTCATCTGAGGTCCTCACTCCTGACTCTTCGGCTGAGGTTCTCGCTCACGGCTCTTCTGCTGAGATCCACTCTACCGCAGAAGATCCTGGCTCGTCTCCGGAGGTCCTCGCTCCTGGCTCGTCTCCAGAGGTCCTGGCTCATTTCCGGAGGTCCTCGTTCGTGGCTCATCTCCGGAGGTCCTCGCTCCTGGCTCGTCTCCGGAGGTCCTCGCTCCTGAGTCTACCACAGAAGATTTTTGGTCTGCAGAGAGCTCGGGTTCCTTGCCTTGCGGCGCCCATGGTCAGTCTTTCGACGTCTCTGCTCCTGGCTCGCCCACCAAGGTCTTCGCCCGTGGTCCGTCGGCTGAGGTCTTCATCTGCCTGAGTTCAGGAGGGCTCAGAGGCACATCACTGCTGCCCACAGGTGGATGGTTTCCTAGCAGCCCACCAGAACTCTGGCCTGGGGATGGATGGTTTCCAGGCCGCCCTCCTGATCTCCTGCCTCATCAAGGACAGTCACCTGGTCGCCCTCCTGAGTACTGGTCCTGCCCTGGACAGTCTCCTGACCGCCCACCTTGACTCGGGGATGGGGTCCAATGTCTTTGTGTTTGGTGTTTCCCAGGGTTTATTCCTGCCGTTTTTTTTGTTCTTTTGGTCCTGTGTCTACTCTTCCTGCTCTGTCCTCTTTTGTCCCGCCTCCCACCCAAACTGGATGTAGCATGTCCTTGGGATGTCAGGAGCCATCCCTTGAGTGGGGGATACTGTAGGGTTTCTGGCTTTTTGTCCTGTCTCTGTCTGTTTCCTCATGTTTCCTGATTAAGCTCTCTGTGTTTCCCTCCTTGTGTTCAGCCCCTATCTCACCTGTGTCTCATGTTAATCACCACAGGTGTCTGTCATTGTCCTAATCAGTGTGTGTGTGTATATATTCAGCTCTCTTCTGTCTTGTCTTTGTCTCCAGATTATCATTCCATGGTGTCGTGCTCAACCTTTTGTCCTGTCAGCTCTGATCTGCCTGTTTCCAGTTTTGTGAGTAGCTGCCCTGTCAGCATTTTGATTTTGTTTTGTTAAAATAAATACTTTTGATCTTTTCATCGAGCCTCCTGTCATCCTCCTGCACGTGGGTTCAAACACACCTGATGGCCGAACGTGGCATGGTGATGTGTCTCATCTGTCCTCTTCCACCTGTTAAAAAGACAAATTGCATTAAGTTTGTTGTACAACTTGTCTATAAGTTTTAGTATAATATGAGAAATAACTGTTACCTTTGAGCTGCAGCTGCATCAGAGCTTCTCCCATTTGTTGTTTCATGGTGAAGTTGTGGTGCTCCTTTATCACAAAAAAAAATCTACATGAAGAAATAACGTACGTTGGGTCCATCGTATTAAAAATAAACCTAAACCCCTCACCTTCCACTGAGCTGTCTGCTCATAAATCCTTTGTGATATAGCAGGAGATTGAGAGGGAACTCTTCACAGCCTTTGGAGAAGCCTGGAAGTTTGTTGCAGAGTTCGCTGGTTGGCTGCTTCGCTTTCATCTTCCGTGAATTTTGTCATATTTCCAAAATACTGTACCGCAATTTTATTTTACGCTTCTTGTAAACAACTGTGCTCTTGTGAAGCTCTGTCTTCCTCCAGAACATAGTAGGATCTGAAATTATTTTTAAAGACGAAGCAGCGGGTTGAATCGTGCCGTTTCCCTCCATGCTAGCAGGCTCCATTAAGATAAAGGGAGCTGGCTAACTAGCTTGCTGTACGGTGGCCTACACGGCTCAATTCTACAGCGGACGAACGGGGAGTAAGAGCAGAAAAAATATAAAACTTAAATGCATTTTAAAATCGATTTATAGACCTTTAGAAACTATTCAGAATCACCAGGACTAAGAATCTAGATTTATCGAAAAAACAATTTTTTTCTGCACGCCTACTTTATATGTACAATATGCTTTAAATGCGTTTTTTTAATAACTATTTATTGTGTGTACTGTAGTGTGCTAAGGGCTAGGTTAGCTGCACCTCCACTACAATATATTTTAATAAACGGGTTCTCTCTTTTTCGAGTTAAATTACTGCCGTGTGACCGAGGTAACTGTGCGTGGATTGTTTAATCAGTGACTTGAGACATTAATTTCCTTTGACCCATCAGAATAAATGCGGTCATTTATTGAACAGAATCAAAATTTAACATCAAAACATTGTACACTTGATTAGCAGATTTGGTTCTGATTAATAAAACTTGGCACGTTTTACTTAATAAGACAACAGGACTTGAAGAAGGCATCTAGACTACTGACAAAATAGAAGAGTTTAAAGATGGGAAATGAAGAGTTTAAACACTTAACGGGGAGGTGTTTTGTTTACCAGAATTAGCACGCTTCTTTCAACACCAGCCCAACTCTCCGGTACACTTAGTGCGTGACGACTTGTTACCTTGGCAGAAGATACATCAACTCCGGTACAGAGGTCCATTTCAATGCTACCTTTCAGCGTCTCCGGTAAGAGCGGCTGGCCATATCAGGAGTCGTGCCTCTTACTCCGTTCAACAAACACGCAAACACGCTCATCTCCCAGGTGGATACACAGCAAGCTGTGAGTCCATCAGAGTTTCCACTCAGATGTGGAAGAATCCATCACAGACTCCGAAGACTGAGTTCAAGACTAGACTTCATCAGAGACCCACTTGAAGACTCAGGAGACTTGACCGACTGCTTGACTCAGAAGTTCCAGGAAGTGTGGACTCTTAAAGAGTTCTCACTTCCGGTCACTTCAGGACTTCCTGATTGGTTGAAACAACCAACAGGGGGTGTTTCTAGTGATGTCAGAGGGTCATTACAAGTCAAGAAAACAGCAGGAATGTTTTAGAAACGTCCAATACAGACATAAGACATGTTGTGGCGAAGTGAGAGGAAGCAGGTGCCAGTAGCTTCTTATTTACCGTCTGCTAGGTTTAAAACAATCCACTTCGTTCTAATAACTTCTTTCTGATTTTCGACCGACATCACTACTCCTCATTTCAGACAGAAGATCAAAATGCATAATTACCTTGTAAATAGACATTTAACTTGATTTCTAATTTAAATGAGGATTAAAAAAATCATTAATACTGTTTCACAGTTGATTTAAAATGAGTGGTTCACTTCAACATTTAGAAATGGTATGAACTAAACACACTTTTGATTTATCAAGATATTGTAAAATAGTAATGATAATATAAAAGAAGAGTGTTCTTTCAATTGATTACTTCAGGATACAATTAGACAGTCTCTGGATGAGCTAATTTGTATTTCTGGATTCAAATCAATGAAATAACAGTTCCTGTCCCATGAGGGTCCTCAGAGGCAGGTTTTGGTCAGAGGCCGAGTTCACTACAGTACTTCATCTGTTTTTTGTTTTTTGTTTAAAGCAGGTCTCTTGAAAATGAGTCCTTGTGACTTCAAAAAGCGTTCAATACAAAAACAAGTGGACTTTGTAACAGAAGACGTTTCGCTCCACATCTGAGGAGCTTTCTCAATTCAAAGAGCAGTGAGTGAGACATTCAGGTTATAAGGCTGAGTGAAATAACACACACACACACACATATGTAGATTGGCAATTAACACCCAAACACCTTAACAGTAGGGGTTTCTTAAGGTCTTTGTTACTCTAATTTACAGACGAGGCCCCTCTGTTCCCATCAGGTGCGAAAACTGGCTGGGAATCGGTCTTAAAGTTGCATTATAGGTTTTTGAAAGTGGAAATCTGAGGCCTCCTCCTCTGTTAAGAGACGGCTTTTCTCTTTCTACATAAATTGCTTCCTTCACCCCCCTTCTCAAACCATCTGTGTTCTCGGTCCAAAATGTGCACATTTTGGTCCTCAACAGAGTGTCCCTTATCTGCGAGGTGGAGGTGAACAGCTGAATCTTGTCCTGAGGAAATAGCTCTCCTGTGTTGAGCCATGTGTCTGTGAAGAGGCTGTTTGGTTTCTCCAATGTAGAAGTTTGGACAGTCCTCACTTCACTGGACCGCATACACTACACCACTCTTGTTTGTGTATGGGTGTTTTGTCCTTAGGGTGGACCAGCCTCTGTCTGAGAGTCCTGCTGGGTTTGAAATGTACTGGGATCTTGTGTTTGTTGAAAATCCTTCTGAATTCATCTGATACTCCAGCAACATAAGGATGACAATGTTTTTCCGTCTGTTGTTCTCCATTTTCTGTTTATTAGTGTGTTTTGTAGATTTACTCGCTGACTTGACAAAAGCCCAGTTAGGATATCCACGTTTTGAGAGCTTCTTTGATGTGTTTCTGTTCCTTTTCCTTCCCTTCTGTCTTCGTGGGGATGCGTTCATCCGATGCTGTAAAGTTCTGATGACAGAGAGTTTGTGTTCCAGTGGATGGTGAGAGTCAAACAGAAGATACTGGTCTGTGTGGGTTGGTTTTCTGTACACTTCAATGTTGAGGCTGTCCTCGCTTTCCATATGAACAAACAGTCAAAAAAAGGCAACTTGTTGTCGTTTGCATCCTCTCTGGTGAACTTGATGTTATCGACCGAGTTAATGTGTCTGGTGAACGCTTCTATTTCCTTGGCTTGGATTTTGACCCAGGTATCATCCACATATCGGAACCAATCGCTTGGCGTTGTTCCCTCGAAGGAGTTTAGGGCTCTCTGTTCCACTTCCTCCATGTAGAGATTGGCAACAATGGGTGACACTGGAGATCCCATGGAACAGCCGTGCTTCTGTCTGTAAAAACTGTCATTGAACTTGAAATAAGTGGTGGAGAGGCATAGATCCAACAGGGTGCAGATCTGGTCCGGGGTGAAGTTGGTCCTGTTGATTAATTCCTTGTCTTGTAGAAGTTGTTTTCTGACGGTTTCTACTGCTTCAGAGATGGGTATTGTTGGATGTCATATTTTTATACCTTTTTATATTTCCTATCAAGCATTCAAATGTCATGTTATACAAAGTGTGTGTGTGTCTTTCTTCCAGGGTTGAACTATAATTATAGACAATGTTTACTAATTCTAACTATTTTACCTTTACATATAATCTTATATTAGCTAATGATAATTTTACAAGTTCACATTTGATATATTACAAGCAATCAAATCATGCCAGATAGCAGGTAAGATTTGCTCTGAGCACAGGGTAACATAAATAAAGCTAGAACACATTTCTTCAATTTAGACTTAATATAGTTGGACTAAATAAAATCCCTCAGGTTCTCTCAACTAAACTAAAACAAAAGTATAAAAAGGGATCAATTAAGAACACATAAACATGAGTTAGTTAATAATTAATAGTTATTAATTATTCCTAGAAAGAAACAATTTTAACTCAAGATCATTTGGTATCACTAAGGTATAATCAAGTTAACAGAAACGGAGCTAAAACAAAGAACCTGTTACCTGTTACCCTGTGCTCAGAGCAAATCTTACTTGCTATCTGGCATGATTTGATTACTTGTAATATATCAAATGTGAACTTGTAAAATTATCATTAGCTAATATAAGATTATATGTAAAGGTAAAATAGTTAGAATTAGTAAACATTTTCTATAATTATAGTTCAACCCTGGAAGAAAGACACACACACACTATGTATAACATGACATTTGAATGCTTGATAGGAAATACAAAAAGGTATAAAAATATGAAATCCAACAATATGCAAGTGAAAAGAGAAGTCACATCATACAATACAAGGGTTTCTCCTGGGGTTAGTTTCAAATGTTGAACTTTGTTAGCAAAAAAAATCAATGGAGTTCTTTATGTGATGAGGTGTGTTTCCAACAAGAGGAGCTAAAATACCAGCCAGATGTTTAGCAATATTGTATGTCACTGAGTTCATGCTGCTGACAATGGGTCTGAGTGGTGTTCCTTCTTTGTGGATTTTAGGAAGTCCATGAAGACAGGGAGTGGCTTCCCCTGGGTACAATCTATAATATAACGATCAACGATCGATTGATTGAACTCGGCTCTGACCTCGCAGCTGCAGAACCCGTCTTCGACTCATCGGCTGCAGAACCCAGCTCTGACCCCGCAGCTGCAGAACTCGGCTCTGACCCCGCAGCTACAGAAGTCTTCGACTCATCGGCTGCAGAACCTGGCTCTGACCCCGCAGCTGCAGAATCCGGCTCTGACCCTGCAGCTGCAGAATCCGGCTCTGACCCCACAGCTGGTCCCCGGGCCATCTGCTTAAACTCTGGCCTTGTTTGGGACAGTCTCCTGGCTGTCCACCTGTTTTGCTTGTTACTCCGAACGATGCCCAGGGCTGTTCTTAGAAAATTTGTGTTTTGGTTCCTCTTGTTCCCTGTCGGTTTTTGTTTAGATTTTTTTTTCTGTGCCCTCTGAC